AACATAGTGAAACATATGTCTTTGTTATATGTTGGAGCATCTTCTGGGTATACACTCAGGAGTGGTATAGCTGGGTCCTCAGGTAATGCTATGTCCAATTTTCTGAGGAACCACCAGACTGATTTTCTATTTTCAGAACTTTAACAGTATTATTAATTAAAATTTTCCTTAAATCCATATGTTTTATATATATATATATATATACACATATATATATATAAATTACTAAGAAGTAAAGAATACTTTTTATTAAAATTATGTATTTATTAGTCCTTTTAATATATGCCCAGCACATAAATACACATACACGCACATACAAAGAAATATGCATACAAACTCACTTAAGTTTATAACTGCCCACTAAAAATAAATGTAGTACTATGCACAAGAAAATATAAAGGTGAAATTAATTAAAAGGCTATAGGTTTATTAATCCAATATTTTGATGATTTCTAGAGAGTAAGTTTTGTTGCATGTTCACATAGACACAGAGTGTCACACTGTTACAACAAAATCATTACGAACACATATGACAAGCTTATTTTAACCAGGAACAATGTTTGTATCCCTGCCTGTCATAGGAGAAAACATGAACAGCTCATGAATGATCTGTTAGCATGGTTTGGTTTTCTATCTCCCAGGCTTATTAACTGGGCATGCTGGGTTTCCCCTTTCTTAATCTGGGCACGGAGACACTATCTTTTATGCAAGCTTTCAGGATTTTTACTTATCACACATGGCCATAGAAGGTATTTTGTCCATTCATATATGTGTGGTGGTCCAGGAACTACACATTTGAAGCAAAACTGGAATTTCTGATTTGGTCTTTGAGAATAGTCAGTGCGCTTGCGTGGAGGGAACGCCTTTCATTGGTGTGCCTCTAAAGCTGTAGCCAGAACTTTTGGTTCCCTATCTCATGCTTTTTCTGTTTGTGATTTTCTTACTTCAGATCTTAGTTGTTGATAACCAAGTTTACAATGTCAAACACTTAAATCATTGAGTTCCTAGGGCTCATCTCTCCCTTTTTCATCTTTCACAGAATAAAACTTTTACTCAGAAATCTTTTGGGGGCTGTCTTAGGGTTTTACTGCTGTGAACAGACACCATGTCCAAGGCAACTCTTATAAGGACAGCATTTAAATGGAGCTGGCTTACAGGTTCAAAGGTTCAGTCAGTTATCATCAAGGTGGGAACATGGCAGCATCCAGGCAGATACGGTGATGAAGGAGCTGAGACTTCTACATCTTCATCTGAGGACTGCTAGCAGAGCACTGACTTTCAGGCAGCTAGGAAGAGGGTCATAAAACCCACACCCAAGGTGACACACCTACTCCAACAGGGCCATATCTGCTAACAGTGTCACTCTCTTGGCCAAGCTTATACAAGCCATGGTGGGGGAGGAGGGTGAAGGATTTAAGTTGTTAAATTTCCTGAAAGACCCAGTTAGTCTGCTGTGAATTAGAAAGGGATTTCACTCTTTTCTATGAGTAATCCCTTTAAACTTGACACAGTATGGGGTTCCTTAACATAAATTTGTTTTGTCTTGATGACATTTCTATCCTCATCCTATATTACTGGGGCTCTGTTGTAGTATTATAATCTCAAAAAGGGATGTTGATATAGGAGGACTTGGATACTGGGCAGGTGATCATTAGGATTTAAGCTAATGTTTTATCAGCATGCTTTTAAACTTTGCCTCTTCTCTCTCTCTCTCTCTCTCTCTCTCTCTCTCTTTCTTTCTTTTTCTCTCTATCTCTTTCTTTCTTTCCTTTTCTTCCTTCCTTTCTTTCTTTCTTTTTTTCTTTCTTTCTTTTCTTCCTTTTTTTTGTACAGAGCATTGCACATGGTCAGCAGTTAATACAGACCTTCCTTTTGATACCATAAGCCAACATTAAGAACTGAAAGATTTTAGTAAATCAGGATGGTTCATCAAAGAAGCTTTTTGATTCTCCATACATTGTTGTGATTCAAAGGGAAATGTAGAATCTAATTAACTTCAAGTGTGCCTTCACATGCCTTAGCCATAGTTCTGTTAGAACAGTCATGGATGGCTGTCATGGTGCTCTATTCCTCATATGACCCTTAGGTCTGTGTTTTCTTATTTCTGATATCCTGAATGGATGTGAGAACTTAGAGAGTGGCAGGGCTTTGTTGAGAAAGGAAATATTTTAGCAAAGTTTCATTTCCTAGTGTTTATTTGTTCAAAAATGTCCTTCTATATCTTTGTATCTAGAGTAGCTGCTTGTCTTTGTGGATGGACAAGAAGACCTGATTTCAAAGTCATTTCAAATTATTTCACTTGGCTTTTTTTTTATAAGATAGGTCTGGATGCAGGATCACATGATTTAACCAATCATCCCACAGAGCTTGTTTTCAGGATATATATGTATATAGCCTCGGGATAAAACTAATTGCAATATTTGACCATGCATCATAGCTGGGAGTCATAATAAATTAAAGCGAGTTTTAAAATTAATTCTAGGGCCAGAGGGAGTACAAATACTACTGTAGTGAACATTCTCTTCCAATCCGTGTCCTCAAGATCTGACTAGTTCACTAGATCTCTTTCTTACCAAAATCATCCTTAGGAATCCTTAGACTATGCTGAAAGAAGCACACTCTTTTGGACTTGTCTTTTGATGATTGGAGTTTGGACCTGTCATTTTGCTTATTTTCTTTCAGGAGATTTGGAGGTTTGTAGCTTTTACATACTGTTATCCTGAGACCTTCCACAACAGCTTGTCCACCATTTCAGAGTGTTTTGTAGACTGTGAAAAGGAGAGGGAAAGACAAGAAGAAATAGTACAGTGCTGTCAGGTTGTTTGCTTCTCTTCTGGGACAGGGAGAAGTCTGAAAGCATTTCATCTTCCATTATGTTAAAGTTCAGAGATTATGGACACAAACCAATTTTACCTTCTGACTAGCAGACCACCAGTTTTTCTCAGCATGAATCACAGAGCACCTGCTGATAGTTCTGGGCTCTTGGTTTTTGGAACAAAGAATTATAACAGTAACTCATAGGTACTGATAGAAATAGAGACAGTTTATTAAGAGGAAGAAAGTTACTCCCAGGAATAAAAGTGGACTAGACAGCAGGAAAAGGTCTGAGCTCAAACGTGCGGATTCCTGGGGGTACTGGCTCTTCATAAGCTATTTGCATAATACATTTTCTCCCACATTTACATATCATACATTTTTCTTACTTATCTGTTACACCCATAGAAGCTGTAGATATCACAGGGACCTGGTAAGGTGTGTAGTGGTAGACAGAAGTTTGGTTTCACTTCAAGAATGAATTTTTTCCCATTGATGTTCATTCTTTATTTACCTAATTGTTAGAAACATCAGGCAAGGCAGAGCATGATCTACAATATATGTGACCCTTTACCTGAGGTACACTTTGGCTCTCCATCACCTTTGTGTCCTTTTTTTGCCTTGGAGGACATACTTCCTAGACTCTATCTCATGCTGGCAGTTTTCCACACTTAAGCAGCAATATCTGGGACAGAGGTTGTACCCCAGAGAGAACTGTAGAACATTTGGACTCCAATGGGTGTGTTCAGTCACATGCAGGTAGCTCTGCTGGGGAGAGATTTCCAGTCTATCTGCTACCTGCCTTTTCATGTTGTCCTGATTCCCTCCCTGCCCTTCTGCCCCTCTTCCTTGAATCAGGATAAACAAAATAAGGCTTCAAAGTCACCATCCAGTGACCATCTTATTCCATGTAAGATACAGTTTCAAAAGGAATGACAACTATTAATGTCACCTCAAGAATGATTGGATACTAACACAGAAAACTATGTAGACTATTGTTCATATAATCCAAAGCATATTTGGATCTCATGTGATTATTAAATATATGTGCAACTTATGTAATACTTATATTAAGCAAGTCTATTTTATCAACAATTATTTACCCATGACAGAAAAACAAATCTTGAAGTCCTCTCTTCTTGATTGTTGAAATGTTTCGAGTAACAGTACATTTATGTCAAACAGTTATGTTTGCAACCCAGTCTAAAACATGTATTCTTTGTTGTCATTTTTTACACAATTATTTTAATGTAGCCCATAATGATACCGAGTAGAACCTAATTTATAAAAACAAATATCCAAAGTCTGGGCTGTATTGTGAGCCTTAGAAGGGTATTTATGCTTACCATAACTGGCCTTAGCCATTCTTGGGACTCTAGCTTGGCTACTATCTTCTTTTGGCTTTTCCTAAGAACAAAGATCATAACTAAAACCATGAGCCTCAATGTGAAGAATTCTTTTGGATATAGGTACCATGGTCAGAAGAGATAAGTCTACTTGTTGCCTCTGCTTGTTGGAGTATAGATGTTTCTGTTTTCTTTAGGCATGTAGAGTGGATGTTACTCTGGTTTCATGCTATGTGTCTTCTGTACCACCAATGTACACAAGACTAAGGTGGACCCTAAGGTACTGCAGGCTGGGCGTAGTAGAAAAAATAGCCTCTGTAAACTCTGATCTCCTAAGTCCAGGCACAGACTCCAATGTTTTCTCTATTTATTCCTTGCACTCCTATTACTAATTAAATGCTTACTTATCCATTTCTGAGAAAAAGAGATTATAGGGACTGGATTTCGTGAATTCTTTTACTACATAGTTTTTTCTATCATTAGCTATAGGTCTGACAATGCTTATGAGAGCAACACTTTGGTGACTTCTAAATTTCTAGAATTTCTATTATTTTAATTTCATACTTGCAAACAAGTGTTTGAGATAATAAACACTTGATCATTGCCTCTATTAACATTAGAGGTACTTATATCTGTACATTTACCCTGGGTAAGGTGCCGTTTCCTGTTTTTGCCTCCTTTTGTAAGGATTTAATAAGTAAAAATAGCTTATTTACATATTTTGTTGTAATAATCTAGGGTATGATTTCATGAAAAGTCTAACTTGTGGGTGGAACTTTTCTTTACATAATGCACAATTTAAACCTCTGATTAATTGTTATTCAAATGTTGTTTTTTCAGCTCTTCTTCAAGTGACAATTTCACTTAGCAAAGTAGAGCTTAGTGTGGGTGAATCTAAATTCTTCACATGTACAGGTATGTACTTGGATAATATGCCCTGTGGTTGTAAAGTTTATACAGGATATTGCATAGATTTAACTAATTAAAACTGACATCACTAAAAATAACATCATTCATTATATGATTGGGAAATATTGACAATGGTTAAGTGTTAGCATTATGAAATGTATTGTTACATGTTTGATTATCAAATTAACTAATTTTTTATAACATTACATTATAAAACACCATCTGTACATACAAATTTTCTGTTGATTTAAATATCATTTCCATCTAAATAGCCATATTAGGATTAATTTGAACTCTAAAACTGAATTTCCTTGTCTAAAACTAATGAATAAATTAAATATGACACTGCACAATTCTAATAACTGAAGGAGGGGTAGATTACAAAATAAGATATATGTCTTTAATGCATACATTCTAATTAGAAATAATGTTTTAGTTCAGAAATATTTTTGTAAAGTTTGTGATAATTAATCAGTGTATTGAATGATCTGTAGAAAACTATTTGAACACCCTTCCATTTAATTAGAATGCTAAATTTTTCAGAGAGCCCTGATGTACTTGATATGAAAGCTTTATTTTACTATATTATAGAAATATCAAATGAACCCATTATTCATCTACTCATATTAATCATATCCACACTCACAAATATAAGCACTTAAAAAATTTTATATACCTACATATGAGTGTTGTGTCTGCATGTATGTCTACATGACAGGATAGGATATCAGATCTCAGTACAGATAGTTGTGAGCCACCATTCAAGTGCTGGGAATTGAACTCAGAGACCTCTGGAAAAACAGTCAGTGCTCCTAACAATTGAGCCATCTCTCCATCCCAAGCACAAGGTTTTTATATATGAATATTCAGAAGTACTCAGTCAGTGCTAAAATAACTTAGGATGCTATTTTTAAATTGTATCTCTTTCTGATTATAGTAAAATAATGTTAATCTAGATAGCCATAAGTATCCATGACATATATAAGACAAATTTGCTTAGCATACTTGTAATACAGATTATTGCCTAATATGCAAAGCCCTGATTTAAATCTCCAGTATCACACAAATCAATGACAAAGTTGTCTTGGTGATGCTATGGCTTATTCAATATGATAAGTATTAACAGGGAAAGCATTTCTGTACTAATATTCATAAATCATTTTAAGAAAATAACAACAATGAATACTGGATTTTTTTATTAGAAAAGGATAAAAACAAATGGTTTTTAATGTCTTTTTCTATGTATCTGAAGTGACACATATTATAACACCCATTTTGTATAGTGAAGGAAGATCAAAAATGAGTAATTATTGGTGTAGTATTGCCACTTCTGACAGAGGGGAATTCTTCCTAAGAATATAGGTTGCTATTCCTAAATTTCACATATGATTTAACTATACACAAGCAAATATACAAAATACCTTAAGTTTATACTTTTACAGAATTATATCATATAGAAAGCTTAAAATATATTACAAATTGAAAAAAAATATTTGTGTATTAGTTCAATTTGATTATATATCTTAGTATATGATTGACTCAAATACAAAAATAAAAATAGACAAGTTAACATGTTAAAAATACTTCATTTATGATATATTGAATTTCTTAAGCCTAAAGAGAGTAATACTAGAAACAATGAAATTCAAATTTTTCACTATTTTCTATATTAATGATCAATATGTTCAGATACTTTATATTCAGATACTTTAAAAATACAACTATCTGAAATTCTACAAGAACAATTTAAAGTGTCTGGTAACTTACCCTGATATTCATTCAAGAGTATTTCATATTCAGCAAATATCTTTAACTATGCATTCACTAAAGTAGTGATTTTGATGATTTGCATAATGGATCTAGTAGACATGTTTGAATATTATATGGAGCATTTTAATGGAAATTATTAGTTACTTGATACTCTAAAAGAAAGAGAAATGTGATTGCTACATGAAAATCCTGCGATACCTCTATGGTATGAAATTTCCCAATCATGATATTAAAAAGTTGAATGTCTGAAATTTTTCCTACAATGTTACACTAAATTTTAAAAGGTTGTAATTTATTCCAAATTGAATTAATGCTCATTTATGTTGAATCCATCTGTATTTTGCAGAGATACAAGCAGGTTCATATCAATAAGATAAGAATGAATAACTTTCTTCACAGACCTGTTGCTGTTGACTTAATATATTTCCCCATTCCTTTTGAGGGAATGAATGTTCTGTTCTCAGATAGTCTCTTTAGGAATTAGATGAAATCCTTGTTTTTAAATGAAAGCAAATGCAGGCAGCTTTAGTTTCTGTAAAGTGGTTAATTACCTAGATTCTGAAGCATTAATGTTTACACTGTAATCATTTGGTTGGAATTACTAAGCAGCATAAGTGCCATTTGTCTGTATTCTAATTTTTATATGATTAAATAGTTAATAATTTTAGGTTAATATGACAGAATTACTCATTTCAGTTGGGAAAACACATTAGGATTTTTTTAATGGCAATTAGCCTTTTCTGCACAACTTGAACAATTTCAAAAATTAGCTTAAAATTTAGAAATATCAACGGTCAAAAATTGTTTTATAAGATATTTACATTTTTGTAAACATTTCCCTATTTGTGCTAATACCACTGGTACCTTTTTACCTTAGCAATGAGAACTGAGCATATGAAATCATCTTAGCATTTTTTTTCGATTTTGCAATATCTATCATTTGGGTTGTGTCTGCCTAAGGCACTTTTAGTGTTTTGTGCAATAATAACACATGTATTATGACTGTTATGTTTCAATTCTCACAGCCTAATTTCTAGTCATATATTCAGATGAAATGTTTGAAGCATGCTTACTTACATGGACCAGACGGAGTCCTTAATGTTGCTTAAACAAAGATGAACATTTGTTTTAACATTTGTGTTTACTTTCAGTTTTGTACAAGTTTCAGATTTCCAGTCTTCTATTTACACTCTTTTCTAAAATGGTAAAATTGTTACATAATAGTAAATGCCACTGTGAAAACAAACATTCGAAATTGATTTTCAAACATTTGTTTTCCACTCTGCAGCCATTGGTGAGCCGGAGAGTATAGACTGGTATAACCCTCAAGGAGAGAAGATCATTTCAACGCAGAGGGTTATGATACAGAAGGAGGGTGTCAGGTCGCGACTAACCATCTACAATGCAAACATAGAAGATGCAGGGATATATCGCTGTCAAGCGACAGATGCCAAAGGACAGACACAAGAAGCTACAGTAGTTTTGGAAATTTACCGTAAGTTGTACATTTGTATTTTAGGTCATTGAAACAACAGTTTCATGACGAAGGATTGAAACATATTAAAATATACTTAACAGTAAAAACTGTCACTGTGTAATAAATTTGAGGGGGCTTGAAATCTGTTTAACTCAGAAATGTCTCACTTGCAAAATTTTTATTATATAAAATTTTTGATCTTATTGCTATAAAAATAAGTTATATTAAAAACAAAACCTAAACTTTCCCCATGGAAGATCTTCATCTTTGACCACCTCTATCAATGTCACATTAAAATTCTCTGGAAAAGGTATTTCTTCTCCTATAGTGATTGGTCCTAAAATTAAAAATATAGAAATTAGTTGATAATTTATAGGCATGATATTTGAAGACAGTATACACTATTTTTTTAAATGATGTATGAAATCCTTTGTGATTTATTGACTAAACTAAATTTGAATTAATTTTGCTGCCATAACAGTTCATGATTTTTTTTGGAAAAAATAAAGGCTTTGCTGTGGCCATTTCAGGATCCATATCCCCCACCACTAGTAGTCTCAGCTAGAGTCACCCCCTTACACATCCTGGATCTCCCTCTTATCTCAAGTCTCTCCAAGGCTCTAGAGATTGGCCTCCTAGCAATTTCTTTTTCTTTTTTCTTTTTTCCTTTTTTATCCTTTTTAAATTTGGATATTTTCTTTATTTACATTTCAAATGTTATTCCCTGTCCTGGATCCTGACACCCTAAATCCACTATCCCATCTCTTTTTCTCTGCTTTTATGAGAGTATTCCATACCACATCCACCTGCCCACCCACTCCCACCTCCCCTCCCTCGAAAAGACTGCCCCACCTGGGGATCCATCCCATATACAGTCACCAAACCCAGACACTATTGTGGATGCCAAGAAGTGCTTGCTGACAGGAGCCTGATATAGCTGTCTCCTAAGAGGTTCTGCCAGAGCCTTGCAAATACAGAAGCAGATGCTCACAGCAATTCTTTCTCCCTTGATCTCCCTATACCTGATCTCCACCTGCTTCCCAAACTCTCTTCAACCCAGTTCCTTCACTCCACCTACTATATCTATTTCATTTCTCCCTACTCTTTGCTCTAAGAACTGGAAACCCCCCTCTGAGTATCAGCAATTTCCCTGACCCCTGTACTATACCCCCCACGCATACTACATATCAAGTCACTGCCAAACTACGTACATCCTTTCCATCTGAGGCTAGATAAGGCTGCCTAGCTAGCCAGACCAGATCCACAAGTAGGGAACAGATTCAGGAACAGCCCTTGCTGTAGTTGTTGTGAGACCAGCATGAAGATCAACCTCTTCTTCTGGAACATATGAGTGGGAGACATAGGTTCTGCCTGTGCCAGCTCTTTGTTCGTGGTTCAATCTCTGGGAGCCACCAAGGATCCACGTTAGTTGACTCTGTTAGTCTTCCTATGGATTCCCTGTCCTCTTTGGGTGTCTTAATCCTCTCCCCAACTCTTACGTAAGTTTTGCAGCTCCATCTAATGTTTGGCTGTGAGTCTCTGCATCTCTGCTTTGGCTGTTGGTTGGAATCTCTCAGAGGACAGTTGTAGTAGGCTCCTGTCTGCAAGCATAAAGAAGTATCATTAGTAATGTCAGGATTGGTGGTTGTTCATGGGATGGGTCTCAGTTTGGGCCAGTTATAGGTTGGCCAGTTGTTCTCCAAGTGTTCATGATGGAAAGCTTGGTCCTCAGTTTGAAGTGTATGTGTGTGAAGACTTAAAGACTGGGCACTGTTTTTAGGTGGAATTGTGGAATTTCTAGACTCTTGGCTTCCTGTTTTAATGCTCAGCCTTGAACTCTTCTCTGTACTTGGATTGCATTGAAAAGAATGGGTGCTCACAAACAAACTATTGGGATAGCCCAGGACTGAGCTTTCAGTTTCCAAGATATTGTATTAAATAAATGTATTTTATTCATTAAAAAGGAATGCTTAATATAGGCAAAATCATGTTCTTGGTACACATTGACAAGGTGTTAAAAACCTGAACTCACTCTTTATAAAGTTTTAAATATATAGATCTTCATTACACTAATAATCATCGATAACCGCATGTTAAGTTAAGTAAACAATAAATCTTTCACCAGTGGTTTTTGTTTTCTTGATACAGAAAAACTCACTTTCAGAGAAGTGGTATCCCCTCAAGAATTCAAGCAAGGGGAGGATGCAGAAGTGGTTTGCAGAGTGAGCAGTTCTCCTGCCCCTGCGGTCAGCTGGTTGTATCACAATGAGGAAGTCACCACCATCCCCGACAGTTAGTATTTTGGTAACTCTCTAAGTTATATGTTCTAAAAATACTTGTAGTTTTACAGCTATAGCGGTTCTGTGTCAGGCATGGTACTGTATGTCAGTATACCCAGCACTCAGAAAGCTGACCCAGGAAGGCTGTGATTTTAAAGACATCAGGAATCTGATTCTAAGAAACAAATGTGCAAACAACAACACAAGATGATACAAATTTTACTTCAAGGTTGAAACAATTCTAAAGCCTAAGACTTAGGTACAGGTTTGCTGAACTCTGATCTTTGGATGAATTTTTGTTCCCTAAATAAATAGCAAAAGAAAGAAGACATGTGCCTCTAATCTCAACACCTGGAGGATAGGTGCAGAATAATCAGGACTTGAAGATCACCTTAGCTTCATAATACTTCCAAAGTCAACCTGGAAAACATGGCTACATGTCAACAAAAATAAAAAATAAAAACAAACAAACAAAAAAGACAAAACAAAAGAAAGAAGTATGCAAAACAAGCAAACAAAAACAGTCATTCTCTATAGTAATGTGTTGTGTATGGCAGACTTGGCAGCCGAGTTTATAAGTGAACTAGTATAGAAAGGCAAAAACACAGAGTTTAAGTACTACCATAGAACATTGTGTGCGTGCCTTCAGTTTCTACCAGAAATTATGACATTGTAAAACAATACAAAGCAAGTGCAGTAGCAGACATCGGAATATACAGATTCTACTTGTTAAAATTCCAAAATGATACAATAAAAAATGATATAGAGTAAAATAAAACATCAGTATCAAATCTGGCTTATATTCTATGTATGTTCTCTCAAAGACAGCAGTATGTTCTAAATATTATGGAAAGATAAGTATGGATAATCGACAGAAGAGAATATTTGTTTAAGATGTCATCATGACTTTGATTTAGACTGAGGTAAAATTCAGAATATGACATTTGAAACTAAAAGCATTATTTGCTTAGATTATGCTGCTTAACTATTGTGCATAGGGACATTTTCAATTTGCTATATTTTCCAAGGCATCTGCATTACATACAGGTACAAAATAATTGAATCTTATAAAATATTTTCCAAGTTATATGATTCTCTTATGTGTTTTGAAGAGATGAAATTTCCACAGCATAAAGGAAAAAAAAGTAGAATGTCTATTTTTAAGTATATAGAGGAAATAGATCATAATTATGATTCATAGTCATTTTTTTATTTTAAGATAATTTTCTGAGCATAATACTCACTATTTGTCAGATAAGGAAAAGCGCTCATTTCAATATTCTAATTTTATAAAATATAAGATTTAATTATATTTGTATTACTATGTGTAAATCCTTCAAGTTTTACACAAATTATACGAGGAGTTAACGTGAAGTGTTTTCAGCATTGTTCCTCTACTATCTGAAAAGACCAGAAGTTTCTTTAAAAAAATTATTGACATTGTCTACACCCCTTTATATTATCCAGTGTTGGAGAACACATTTGCTTGCATGTTTTTTTTAAATCTTAATCACAAGTACATTTAAAAGGAGTAATACTTTTAAAATGTGAATAGAGACAATGCCTTAGAACCCAGACTGAAGAGAACAGAACTAATGAAGAGTTGACACCATTGAGGTGTGGCTGGCATTGTTTGCCAGAATCCCACACTGCAATATGCAAATCTGGAAATCTCTTTCCGTTTGATTTCCACCTTTGGTCCTGAAAGGCTCAAACTTTTCCAGCTCCTGTACTCTTCAATGAAAGTCTGTCAATAGACGATGGATTGATGCACCCATTTCAAGCAGTTTCTGTAGCTTATGAGTCACATACTAGACATGCTTAAATGTTGGATATGTAAATGAATGAAGTATGTTGCTGGATGCATGGTAGCCATTTATCATATGTATCTTACTAAAGTTTTACATTTTATTCTACTTTTAAGATGAGAACAAGTTTAACCAAAATTGTATGTTCTCAACATACATCTAGAAAAAAAAACAAAACAAAATGAACAAAACAGATATGGATACAACTGAGTCATATACAATGCAATTAGAATAAAGTAATTAATCAAAGTGTGCTGCTCAAAATTTTCTAACTTAGGAACATTAGAACCAGATTCTAAATAATTAATTTTTTTTAAAAAATGTGTGTTTACATAAATTTAAATGTAGAAAATTTTTATACTGTAACTAGTATGTTCTCTTTAACAAAATTGGATCTATAGCCGAAAAACTATGTGTATATATAAAAGTATGTAGATGGTCTGGGAGTTTTCTTTGCGAATGTGCCACAGGTTTCTGCATTGACAATCAAGGTGAGATAAGGAAGGCCTTAGTGTTTATCTCTCTGGCTTCTGATAGGAACCATGAGTCAGATATAAGTAGAATGATATAAGTAGGCTTTTCTCTTGTTGTCTAAAGAGGACCTATCTGCTAAAGAGCTCAAGGATGCAAGAAGCATCTATAAGATAGAATTTTCTCAGTTTTAGTGGTTATTTATTGATTTTTAACTAATTAATTTTAAAAATTTTGATAATTAAAATTGAAGTTATTTGCAATTGATAAAAATGATATTTTAGATTTTTTTTTTTGGTCGAGCCATAGTGACCTGCGACTTCTTGTAGTAACTTTTTTAAGGATATTTGTGTCAGGGGTGTGCTTTATTTTGTAACTTCCCAAGGTCTACAAGCTTTGGAGTTCTAGTTGTCAATTTCACAGGGACTGTTCCTACTATGGACAGCAGTGGATATAAGTATATAAAATAGCATCCATTGATGAAAGTATAAAATAATGTGAAAAAATGTAATTGAACAATTTGACGATTATGGGATATTACATTTTTTTTGAAGTTGAAAAGCACGACACAATCAACATGATGTGCTTGGGAGCACCCTTCTCTCCTTGAGTGTCCATAAACCTAATTATTTCTTTCAAAAATGATTTGATTAAAATATTGTACCATTTCCCTTTCTCTCCCTTCCCTCCAACCCTTTACATGCCCCCTCTAACTTACTTACAAATTCATTGTCTCTTTTGAATTATTACCATTATATACTTGTACAAATATTTGTAAATAAATATGCAACTTCAGCCTACTAAGTCTGCTCATTGTTGCTTGTATGTATATGCTTTTGGGGCTGACAACTTCTTATTGGGTAAGTAAATAGAGGATTCATCTCAGGGGAAAATTAATTCTCTCCTAGTAGTGGTTGTAGTAGCTTTTAATCCAGGAATAGATCATATCTTAAACACATAATTATATTTTGTTCTATTATCCAACAAAAATACTATAGAAAATATTTAAATTGACTTTGGACCCTCATTAGTCTTCAGAAGTTGAGTCATCCAGGAAGTCTAGTGACTTGCAGAGTATATACTCTACACATCTTCCTCTAGCCTAGGTTCTCCTTTGGTGAAGAAATTTTGTGTTTCCTTTTTGACTTACTGGGGGAAGCACCTATATAGATGTTTTAGCACTTAGGTTTAAACAAAAGAACAAATAAACAGAATGGAAAATTTTATATATTGCAGGGTAAAAATAATGTGTCTTTATAGTTATAATTTGTGCTCCATTTTTAATGAAGTAAAATATTAATTTGCTCATATCCATATCAAACAAATACCTATTACATAGCAATTGACCACTGCTTGCTTGTTTCAATAACTTCCTGCAAAGTAATAATCTTCCTCTATTCTAATATTGTAAATATATCTCTATCTCATTTTTAATTTATGGCAAAACCAAGACCTGCATTTGAATAACTGTGGCTAATAGTAGTTTTCTTTTCTTTTTGTAACATCATGCCATCTAGTTTTTATCATGTGTTTACTTCGGAACTCCAAGTGACAAGTTTCTCTTCCTTTGTTTATTTTAATTTTTATTTTTCACAAGTGTCTGCTGTGATTCGTATGCATCTCTGTCAAACCAGAATTAGAAAAAAATAATCAAATCTGGACCAGACAAAAAAGTTGCATCTAGACAGTAATTGTTGTAGGAACTTAGTACTCTATAACAGTGAAAATTCTGTTTGATGCATACATTCAAAGTTAATAAAGACTACATCTACTTTGGTGAATAAAATATCCTAAAGAGAATACTTGGCCAAAAGCTGACATTTTTTGTCATATATAGTGCTTGATAGTCAGTGCTATATATGGATCTATAAATGAATAAAACATTTCAGATATTTACTGTGCAAGATGAAGTTCTAAGGCAAAAAAGTAACATGTATATATTCCTTAATATAGTCCTTAACAGTAGAAACAAAGTAACATACACACACACACACACACACACATACACACACACACAGAGAGAGAGAGAGAGAGAGAGAAAGAGAGAGAGAGAGAGAGAGAGAGAGAGAGAGAGAGAGAGAGAGAGAGAGGATTCTTAACAGTAGAAACAAAGTAACGTATATATAGTCCTTAACAGAGTAGAAATAGACATGAGAGAATTCTTTACATAGTTAAAAAAATAAAAGAAGAAAGAGACCTTTGACACTAAAATATTTCTTTAATAATCTTGTTAAATAGAGATGTTACTTAGGTATCTCAGGTAACTATTTGGGAACAATTTTAGTCCCACTCAGTGATTAAATGTTCCTGTTGCTCTTTCATAACTACGGGGTTCAATTTTCAGCACCTACATGGTAACTCAAAACCATCTGTCAACCCATTTTCAAATGCCTAAACAGGCATGAACCTGTTCCTCATACATAGAGGCAGGTAAAATAATTATACATATAAAGTAAAATAATTTTAAAAGCCACAAATATCACTTTTATCAGTCAGAATGAAATGATTTCTGCCTTTCAGCTTACCTTTGTGCACATAAACAGGCAACATAGAACCTCGAAATAAAAATTAATGCTCATATCTAATTATTCCTAAAGATTGATTTGTAATTTGAAGAAAGAATTACTTAAATAAATCGAAGACATAACTGTCTTTTATATCCTTTATGTGTCTTGAACATTAGTGGGTCATTTGGCTGACTTGTCAGGTTATGAAAAAAGTTGGCAGTTTAATTATTCTTGGGGAAGGATGTTCAATAAAATTTCTACCTATTTTCCATAGCCAAGTGGCTGCATTTAAAATTTGTCAGGTCAGCAACATCTAAACTCCTTGCATTGTTCTTTTGTGCTTCATTTTTTGCATTCAGAGCACCAAGGAGAAAATAATACTCTAACCATTTTATGTGGATATAAAGTCTAGAATATATTTTGGGGGTGAATATAACAAGGCCAAGGTAGAGTGAAAAACTTGATGTTGTAAAATTGCATTTTACTTTCAAATTTGAATTTTTGGTGGATGGAAAGTTGGATAGTATCAGAAAAGTGCTATATTTTAATTCTTAGAAATTCAGAGCACTCTGCAGTCAGCCTCAGTAACAGATGTCTTTTTCTCTTCTTCACTTGTTTTTCAGATCGGTTCGTAGTGCTTGCAAACAATAATTTGCAGATCCTCAACATCAATAAAAGTGATGAAGGTATATACAGATGCGAAGGACGAGTGGAGGCTAGGGGAGAGATTGACTTCCGGGATATCATTGTTATTGTTAACGGTAAGCCATAAATTATTTGTGTACAATCTGTTATTTATTTTAGCAATGTTTGTTCAAAGGGAAACTATAAAGTCAACAATGCATAATTTATAATAAATGTCATCCATCTATACATATGAGAATGTACCAACTTTTCTAGTGGCGTTTGCTGTATTTCATGAAAACTTACAGACACATTCTTAGATGCCCTCACTTTTCAGTATGTCGATTAGCTTTTGTCAGGTGTGTCAGTGAATGAATGCGAAATGGAACATAGTGATATCTTAGATTAGATTGATATGTAGAATTCTATGATGTATCCCTTGATTTTTCATTATTTGCATTTTTCAACATTAATAATTGAGTTAATATTTTTACTTTCTATTGATCAAGGATCCCAAAAAATAAAGTTTATGAAATAGCAATATCTCATCCAAGTTGCTTCTCATACCATACAAACTTCCTGGTTAAGTAGAACTTATATAGAATTATTTTTGCCTTCAATTTTTTTATAATTACTGTCTAAGAGATATCCATGCTATCTCCTTAATATTTCTCAAATATACTTCATTTCCTACCATCAAGTTTTTCATGCTTAAAATGTGCTTTTAATAGTTTTCTCCTTCCACTGAGAAATCTCCACTCATAACTTGGTTCTATCTCTCTCTCCACCATAGATTGCAATGTTAATAACCATTAAGAGTTTTGTATGCTATTCAGGAAAAAAAAAACAAGAATATTTACTTCTAATACAAGACAATTCTTTTGAAGAGCCTCTATCCTGATGTTTATGTCAATAGAAAGAAACAACAAAAACAAAATCATAATACAAAACTTATTGATAATAAGAGTATAAATATTATTTGATATTCAATGCAAATAATTGATTTCAATTCAACAAAAACAAATTTAATGATTAATATTTTAATTTGCATATACATATAATATTATGTTTTATCATATACAGAAAAATATTTACTTCCTATAAGGTGGCTATCTAGAATAGTTTTACTGTATGTGAATGAGAATGCATTTATATACAATATGTAAAACATATGAACTTATGGGTGATTGGTGATTAATTTTTTTGTTTACAGATCCACTGGTTTTTCAAGCTTCTTCTATTTAGGATTTAAGAAAACTTACATAAAAGTAATTCATTAAATCATTGCAATTCCTCTTCCTTTCTGAGCACAAGACAAATCACCATGAGTTAATACATATAGAGTTCTTTAAAATTGCCAATTTATATACAGCAATACATGATTATTACATAGTACTCTATAACTATGTATATATACATATATTATTAACTAAAATGTTAAGTTAATTATATTGTTAAAAAGTACATATCACATACTGAGGATAATATGTTAATATTTTATTGTTCATGATCATACAATGTTACTTACTGTATTGTTGTGAATTTTAGTTTATTCTGATACTGTAATCTGTTCTGATACTATGATATATTCATTCTGATGGAAAGATTATTGGTATACTGTATTCATCTCAATAATATTAATTTAAAACTTCAACTTTATCACATGAATTCCTCACTAAAGTAGAATCTTTTTTTTTTTTTTGATTTTTCTAGACAGGGTTTCTCTGTGTAGCCCTGGCTGTCCTGGAACTCACTCTGTAGACCAGGCTGGCCTCGAACTCAGAAATCCGCTTGCTTTGCCTCCCAAGTGCTGAGAGTAAAGGTGTGCACCACTATTGCCTGGCTAAAGTAGAATCTTAAGTTCTGTTTTCTTATTCTTATTTATTTAAGAGTCTACAATAAAGTAAATAAAGGGAAATATTATTTCAGGCCATGAAAACAGTCAAGCAGATAAGACTTTTACATCTCTGATTGACGACACAAACATCAGTTCCATATCTCTTTCCTATACAGACTCAGCTAAAAACTGATATTCTCTGCATGCACAATGCTAACATGTTTTCCATTTACAGTCACAATGTCTTATGTTTTCAAGTAACTGGAACGGCTTTTCTGCAATATAACTGTTTACAAATTTCAATATTGATTGCTTCTGCATGTGAGTGGTACATTTGGACCCTGTCAAGGAGATGCAGTGACGAACTCCACCAGATAGCTGTGATTTTTCACTTACATGTTCGTTGACTTATCTGGGAAATACATTTTATTCAAACTTATAGATTCTTCTATTTATTGGTGTCTCTAGATCTTGAGATTCTCAGAAAAATTTTCCTGTGTGTGTCTGTCTTTGTTTCAATTTTCTGACTGTGCCTGACCTCTCAAAGATTTTTCATTGGGTAATTTAAGATTTCAAAAAATTTAAAAAATTAAAGTGTAACTTTTTCACTGAATATCTTCATTTTCTTAAATTTCAGATTCAACTCTTGTTTTATGATTATATTCCAATTAATATTCTGATATTATAAATGTATGTTATTATATAATTTTATTTTTATATATAAATTTATATAATGATACTATTTCTCAGTTAATTATAAGCAATATACCCCATATTATTATAGCTCTTATTTATGTTGTACTTATGTTAGTCTTGAATGACAGTTGGGCAGTTGTGGCGCACGTCTTTAATCTCAGCACTTGAGATGCAGAGGTAGGCAGATTTCTGAATTCGAGGCCAGCCTGGTCTACAGAGTGAGTTCCAGGACATCCAGGACTACACAGAGAAACCCTGTCTTGAAAAACAAAAAAAAATGATGACACAAATATATTTATATAATAACCTGTGGACCATATTGGAGAAATGAATATGAATTCACAGATTATATATAGGTGCAGAGACATAATGCTAATTTTAAAAGACTATTTCTGAAAAATGGAATTTGCAATTTGTTTTTTAAACAAGTCATGTTTGTCAAGTCAAGATGTAAAGATTCCCAAATAGTTTTAGTGAATAGTCCTGGCAAACATTTTAGATTATATATATCACCAAGGTATAAGCTGGGAAAAGAGTGATTGCTTGCTATTCAGAAAAAATTTAGTAATGAAAAAATGTGATTTATTAGAAATGAGAGAGAATAATAAGGCTGTAGACAAATACAGAATCATAAAGAAAAAGGAAAAATTGGTCATGAATATGAGCATAGCAAAGCAACTGTGACTAGAATACACTATTTTCAAAAAATGGAGATAATGTCAGTATTGGATGGATTGGGTATGTCTTGAAAAACTTACCGTGTTCTCTGGCATAGTTGTTTCAGTGAGAAAAAGGTATTGCAGAAGAGTAGAAAGCTCTCAGTAGGAGAGAGGGAGGGCATTGTAGTAAGTAATTGGAGCCCATACTAATGGAGAAGAAAATGAATAAGAAAGGATATAATTAAGCATTATACTAACAATGATACATAACACTTGCTAAAAATAAAGGGTCATTTTCAGTTACCTAGTACTAAATTCTTGGTTTCCCGTTTAGCAGAAGCTAACAGAGTCTAACAAGGTGTGAATTTAATATTTCTGCTCAATTTGACAATTATATACTTACAGAACACATTAAATGGAATACTATTATTTAAGTAGCTTAGATTGAATTTAGCATAAATGTACATGTACATTCACTGAACGGCAGACATAGTGATTGCATTCCTTTTGTGATCATATCATGATTAACTGTTTAATATCCTTTAAAATCTTTCAGAAGAACATCATGGAAATATATTGAATGTGTTTACAAGATTTTCTATAAAGTCTTTAAAATTTGTAACTAGATAATTATGTTGTGCATATACACAAATCATAGTTGCACTCTTTAAAATGAACCCAATATTATTTTCTGTGCCTTAATCAAAAATTCTGACCTATCTGATTTCCAGCTTTCTATCACTACTCAGAAAATATTTTTAGGTATAAAAGAACAGGAGAGTATAAACTCAAAATGTAAAAGTCAGTACAAGGTTATTCATATAAAAATGATGTTCCTTATTTTCTAAATCTTTTGTAAATTCACAAAAATGACCCGCTAACCACAGATTCAAATTTGGGGTAATGGAGATAGCAACAATTCAGGTTGAATGAAAATTATCAAGAAATAGAACTTTAAGGCAATTTTATGTTACTCTTCTTTCAAATGCCACAATCAACAGCAGATGATAATGGCTGGGTATATTTGTGAAAGTGAGTGTCCAGCTGTAGAGTGTAGTTTTCATCAATGATCATTGATAATCATGGAACTATGATCTCTGCATTTATGTCTATATGAACTCATTGCTGTCTGGCAAGAAAATGAGGAATAGTACTTTCAAGTTCAATGAAGTGACCATTTTCTTTATAAGCTGCAGCAAATGTCATAGAATCTAAGCATCAATACATAAAAAGACAGGATACAGCACCGTAAAATTGTCAATATTATAACTGAATCAACCATGAAGACAGCGAGTAATAATAAAGCAAATTTAAGGTTATAATTTATGAGAGAATTGTTAATAATAGTATGTAAAATACAATGTATAACCTAGGCCTAGTGCAAGAAATATATATTTATTTAGATCAATCTAATTCCAAATTTGTTATTTTACCCATCAATTCTATTCAATTCCCCAAATTAGAAGTCTGGCAATATAAAAGATAGCTTTTATCTAGCCTGTGTTTTATGGATTTTTCTCATGATAAAATTTGGTTATATGGGTGAATATGTGGATATGTGGGTATGTAGTTATAGAAAATAAATATGATTAAAAAATTGTCTGTACTCACATAAGTGATTTTCATGAGGAGATAGCAATCTTAGGACATTTCTTCTCATATATCTAAATTTTAGAGATTCAGTTGAGTACACTTAGAGTAAACTTCTGCTTATCAATATTTGTAAGTATTCATCTGTTCTAGCTAGTATTATTTCAACTTCAACGAGCTAGAGTCACCAGAAAGGAGAGAACCTCTACTGAGAAAATTCCTCCACAAGGTCTATGTGTAAGATGTTGTCTTAAGTAGTAAGTGATTGTTGGAGGATGGGCCAGCATATTATGGCTGATGTCATCTCTGGGATGTTAGTTCTGAGTTCTATAAAAAAGCATGCTGAGGAAGCCAT